TCTGGTCTCAACACTGATTATTGAGCACGGTGAGGGGCTTCAACCTGTTTCCCCCAGGAGGCAAGCCTCACGCTGGGTGTCTCGGCCTCATTCTTTTTTCCCGAATTAAAGTCACAAACAGCCTGACCCAGTGCCCTGTCGGTACCAGATTGTGACACAAGCCAAAATCCAGCATACAAAATTACCCTCCTTATAATAGAGGTGCCTCCCAGTCGCCAAGAATCCGACCAAGTCACTCACAAAACTAAACTAACTAAAAAATGCGCTGAAATAACAGTTATAAGTTAAGGTCTCATCCACAACAATTGTGGAGAAAGGTGTTCTTTTGGTCTTTGAGCATAAGGAATATCCAGCTCTAACTTAACAAAATTAGATTCTTTAAATACCCATCAATATTAATTCCAATTTCAAACTGGAATGTTTAGCAACGATAAGCCAAGATTTATGTTTTTACTCCTGTGTAATCTTTGCTCTGTTGGGCTTTCTGCCACCAAGTCAAAGGCTGTGTGCAAGATATTCCTGAAGACTCTGCTCAGTGCTGATCCACCTACTTCTTCAGTGTTTTGCCCTCTGTGTGTTTGTATGCACGTGCTCACTAGAACAACAAAACTACAGCCAGGCCAGAACATGTGTGAGCTGAAGATCATCTTACCGCTGGGCAGTCGCAGAGAGGACCACACATCCTGGGTGCCCCAGTCAGCTGAGAGTGGAGGACAGTTGACAACTGGGTAAGCAGTATTACCAGACATGACTGGCCCCAAACCATTGCTTCTGCCAGCTACTGCAACAAACACTGTTGGGATTCCATCTCCTGGGAGAGAGGAAAACGTTCAGAAGTGAGGAATCCACTTTGTTTTCTATCACTCGCTTTTGTGGGAACTTTTTATCAGTCCACAATTATTTTCAGTCATTTTGTCAATTCCATATATAGCAATAGAATTGTGTCTGTCTACGTTCCCCCTTTACAGAAACATTTAAGTTTTACAACTTCAAATCCCAGCTACTTTAGTACAGCTGAAGTTAGCCTGTCTTACCCTGCCTCTGAGAAGCCTCAGTAGCAGAGGAACAGGTGCTGCTTAGCTTTGTAGAGAACATAGCCATTAAAACTCTACCATCTTTAAGTGTTCCTCTCCTTAAATCTTACACAGTTCATCTCAAAAGAAGCGTTTCTCAACTATGGGTACCACACATCTAGTTACACCAAGCAGAAAGCACACTCCCACAAAAACAGTTCTTATGTCTCCTCTGTGAGGCTATAAACACTTCTGAAGAGATGTCAAGTTTTCTTGGTAAAGATAAGAATTTAAATCAAGTATCCTTTTCTCATGGCATGTAAAATAGCAAGCAAAAATATTTTCATGAAACAAGCAGGAAAACATGATGGGAACAACATCTGCCCTGTAAATAACACATGAGAATATTCAGTCAGCTGGAGAAGCTCTCACTCCCTCCTTTCAGAATGGCCAGCATCATCAGCAAGATGCTGCAATATTAACATGATCAAGGCCTGGGCAAGGTAGTCCTGGTACTGGGAAAAAGCAGATGTTAGATTTTGAGTAATGGAAGTTGTGGCTGGGCAGCAGGACAATACATTACCCTGCAATTACTTACTGCAGTCTACAATCTGTCATTACATAATTAGCAAATGTAGGACATCATTGTAACAGCTTGCGTTCTGTTTAACAAAAAATGGAAAAACCACACAAATACTTAGTTGCCAAGTCATTCTTGAAAATGGTACTGTTTCAATCCAGATCAGTAGTTCTTTGGCATTTACCTTCATATTCTGCTTTGATCCTCAGGGTTTCATCTGGCCCTTTGTGAGCAGAGGTCACTCTTAACTCACACGGAATTCCAAAAGTGGCACATGCCTTTTTTATTTTTTCACAGTGAGTGAGGTCAGAAGGAGATCCCATCAACACCACAACCCTGCCTTGGCTCTTTGGTTTCAGAAGTAACTAGGGAAAAGAGTGAAGAGGAGGGTGAGGGAAAGAAAAGCAGTCAACAGGATTGAAGTTACACAGTTACTGAAGCTAATATATGTTATATGTTGGTCATAAGAACAGTTACCTCCACTCTTTCTGCAACCCATTCAAAATTTCTCTTAACCATTTGCAGTGCTTCAGGAGTCACTTCTTTCAGGTCCCGGTAAGACTGAAAAGAGGGGGGAAAAAAAATGAATATGGAAGTTAATGTGTTTCGGGTACACAAAACACTCATTTTACCACCATAATTGATAAGAATACTCCAACTGAAATATTTATGCAGTTTCTAGCAATTCCGCAGGAAGGAGAACAGATTTGTACAGGTTATAGGAGAGTTGATATGGAGGCAAGAAAAGCTATTTAATGAACAACCACCTCAGCACATGTCAACAACCTTCTACATTACAATTCATGGCCATTTGCCACATGAAAGGCTTTTAGCCACTAGGGTAGCAAAGTCTTGAAAGATTCTCAAAGGGTGAATTTAAGGAAAGACACACAGTGTGTTGAGAACTGGATCTGTAATGACACTGGTTGTGTACAGCAGCAGTGCAGTAGCCAGCCTAGGTTCTGCAGGATGTTATCACACACCTTACTGTAGGGAGATGAGCAAAAGCACTGTTCCAGCAATTCACTCAAGTGTGCTACCTCACAGCTCAGGTGAAGTTAACAATAGAGCAGTTCTGCTTCCTAATTTCAAAGTAGTACTCCCCCTTTCCCCCATTTGAAATCTTCCCCTGTGGCTTACAGACACTTTGTCTCACAGGGCCTCTCTTACTACTAGTCCCAACAACTGTCACAGAAGCTCCATGGCAGCAGCATTCCCAAAACAGTTCTTTCACAACAATTTATCTGGTAATTCGCACATTATATTTGACAAAAGTGATTGCTACAAGTTTAAATCTAGGGGAAGTTTTATTTCAAGCTTATGTTTGCAGCCCTCACGTGTAGACACAGTCTGCTGGCAACACATAAGAGACAACTGAATATTTAATTCAATCTTAATCAAAATAAATAATGAAGACATGTCCTCCCTGCAGAGCCCTCTTATGTATCCGCACACACAGGTGACGATACCACTCTGAATGAACAGAGAAACCTGAGGCAGACCTGGGAACCAAAGGCACTACTCCTCCTACCAACAATATGTCATCCAACCATTTTATTACCTGCACAAGAAGTCAGAAATTCTCACCCATGGAAGCTCTATGCTTCACTACAACAGCTCCAGTCAATAGTGCTGTTGGGCATTC